TAGGCGGTTGGTAAATCCTTTATGAGTTTATTTACTCGGATTTTACACCACATATGCCATATATTTCCAGGTGTGGTGAAACTATGTGTCTTTTAGGGACTAAAGCACGTCTGTTAAAGCAGTGTGCGCATGGCGTATGCCCAATACTTTGGAAATTTCTTTATTCACAACATACAAGCTTCTTTATAGCTATTTTGCTATGTGAATTTTCAATGATGTAGCCAACTTTAGGTTACACTCGTCATATTTTACAAAGCAGTCGGTATATCACTTGGATCATATTATTCGGGGATTCACACCGCATATGCTATATATTGGTATCAAGTCACTTGGTTGACTACGATTATCAAAACCACTCAGTTGGTGCATCTATTAGATACATCTATTCGATGCACCTGACTTTATTTTTCAGCCCTCCACAGTCTTCATATTTGGTAAAAGTACTCGGGAGATCATGGTGAGGATGATTGAAGCACTCGGCTTTGGAGTAATCTAGTTCGAGAGAAGATTATCTTTCCGACTGTGAAGGTCTCAGGGGCTACTGTGGAGATTATGGGTACCCCATACCCACACGGCATGGTTATCCGACTAGTAATAGGGGATAACATATATCTATGGAATATGTAACAGATCATGACTTGGGTGTTACGTTTCCTTGTATATTACGGAACGGCCTAAAGTCCTGGTTTGATAATATTGTAAAGTAGATTTAGGAAACCGATACCGTATTGGTTAAGGTTTCTATCTTGTAATCCTGCCCCCCATCCTATATAAGGTGGGTAGGAGGCCCTCTAGGGGGCATATGATACAACCTGATCGTCAGATCAATACACACTCGGCGGATTCAAATCCCCAAACAGGAGTAGGGTATTACCTCTCATTGAGAGGGCCTGAACCTGTCTAAATCCTTTGTCTCCGCATCCATCCACTTTTAGGCCTGAACCTGTCGAAACATGATTTCGGCAATAATAAAAGGGGGTAGCGCACGAGACCTAAAAGTGGATGGATGTGGAGACAAAGGATTTAGACAGGTTCAGGCCCTCTCAATGAGAGGTAATACCCTACTCCTGTTTGGGGATTTGAATCCGCCGGGTGTGTATTGATCTGACGATCAGGTTGTCTCATGCCCCTCATCATCTGCTATTGTAGATGCTTCACTTGGAGGAGAGTTGATGTTGTTGCCCAACTCGTCTAAACCAAAATATTTGAAGTTGTTGAAGTAGAATGTCTGCTCCGAAGCAAAGATGAAGATAATGACTCCTGGAATTGATTTCTTCAGCTTGACATAAAATTTGTCAAATTTTGAGCCTTGTATTTGTGTAGCCCCCGACTCTTTGATTAGTTGGGAAACAACTGAACATAGAGTCGAGAACTGTAGCCTCTTGTCGTCGAATAGTTATTGCTTGATTGAAGATATGTGTTGAAGATGTCCAAGTAGAAATCATGAATGTTGGAGAGCCTCTTGTTGTAGTAAAATAACATGGCATCGCATGCCGAGATGTCGAGGCTCACAAAGACGTCGTGGTTGGTGAAGTAGCAAAACTTGCGAAGTAGCAGCAATAGAGTTTGCCAGTGCCGAAGATAATAAAGATGAAGTCGCTCTACCATGATGACAGAGTTGCATTGCCGTGATGAAGTGAACACGAGTCGTCGGCAACAGAAGCAAACTGGTAGTGAAGACGCGCAGTTGTGAAAATAAAAGCACTAGTCGGCGACAGCATAACCAGTCGGCGACGGAAGACGATGATGTTCATCAGTAGTGATAGCTGTATAAACCAGATGTAGAGGCGAGGGCACTAGTCAGCAGCAGACGAGACGACCGGCGATGAAGATGGTAAGGCCAATCAACACTGGCAGAATCATGCAGCCATGGAAGTGAAGAAACCAGTCGGCAGCCATGGCAAACGTAGGCAGCTTGTGTTGAAGATACTGATGCCTATTAGTAGTGACAGCGATGTAGCCAGCCGTGAAGAAGATAGCATCAGTTGGCGTTATAACAGGCCAGCCGTGCAGGCGGTGACACCAGTCAGCGGCGGATGCGGCGGCCGGTCGGTGAAGACGTAGACGCCCAACAACGGCAGCATAATAGGCCAGCCGTGCAGGCGGAAACACCAGTCGGCGGCGGTCGAGGCGGCCGGTCGGTGAAGACGTAGACGCCCAACAACGGTGGCATAGTAAGTCAGCCGTGCAGGCGGAAGTACCAGTCGGCGGCGGTCGAGGCGGCCGGTCGGTGAAGACGTAGACGCCCAACAACGGTGGCATAATAAGTCAGCCGTGCAGGCGGAAGTACCAGTCGGCGGCGGACGAGGCGGCCGGTCGGTGAAGACGTAGACGCCCAACAACGGCGGCATAATAGGCCAGCTCGGCAGCGGCGAAGGCAAGCCGGTCGGTGAAGACGTAGACGCCCAACAACGGCGGCATAAAGGCCAGCCGTGCAGGCGGAAACACCAGTCGGCAGCGGCGAAGGCAAGCCGGTCGGTGAAGACGTAGACGCCCAACAACGGCGGCATAAAGGCCAGCCGTGCAGGCGGAAACACCAGTCGGCGGCGGCGAAGGCAAGCCGGTCGGTGAAGACGTAGACGCCCAACAACGGCGGCATAATAGACTAGTTATCCGACAGTTATCCCACTTTTAGCTTTACTAGGCATGAGTACGGTGCCAAATCAAATCAAAATATCAAATCAAACATCGCTGCTGATAGCCAACATGGTACCTTCCTCATCTCATACCTCTCTGCACTTTGGTAAGCCAAGATTGATTACATTGGAGAGTGTCATCTTCCATAAGATGAAGTAGGGGAAGGGTGGTGGTTGAGTCCGGTGTATATCACTATATCTACCAGGGATTTAAATTCAAAAACATGTTTTTAATAAAAATTTAGTGAAGTTAGAGAATTGCAGTTGGTCTTAACCTATTTTATTGTGTTGATACAATGTATTTGTGACAATGTTGAATCTAGCATTTAGGGTATATGTGGTCTAACTTATCACCGGGTGTCGCTCTTGTCGTCTTGCCATCCACCAATCGTCGCAGAGGTGCAAATGATTCACTATGCGCAGCGTCGCGGCCCTTGTTGGCTTGTTGGGATGGCGGTGATGCATCGATGTCGGCTTGGCTGCTTGATGACCTTGCGTCCCTGCTATGATCACACGACGTATGCCCCGACGACCGCTGCTATGATCACACGATGTCTGACCTGACGAACATTGCTATGATCACACGATGCAGTGAGAAATCGGAAAAAGACGAACGCGATGCAACACGCAAGACCGAGTCACCGAGAGATGACGACGCTTCAACCTCATACTTCACATGACACAGTTTTTTTGTCCTCGCCTTCTTACCTTGGCTTCGGGTCATGAATTTTTTGGTGGTCGGGGGACTGTCAGACCACCATGTAGATACGTATATGGTTTACAAGTACATCCGTTTAAGGGCCTATTTGAATTAAAGAATTTATATAGGAATTTCATAGGATTCAAATTCTATATGAAAATTTCCTATTTGGTCCTTTGATTTAAAGGATTGAAGCTTTCCAAATCATATGAAATTCCTATGGAATGACGCATTGCATGTGGAATTTAGAAGAAATTTAGCAAGAGCTTAAACCTCTTGGAAAATTTTCTTTGAGTCTATGGGGGTGTTTGGATCCCCGCCACACATTGCCTCGCCAAACATGCGGCTGCCACAACAGTTTGACTGATGTTTGGTTAATACGTGAGTTGTGGCAGCCACACTTTTTGCTAGTTCATTTGCATGCTTATTTCCGCCACAGCTGTGGCGATTATTTCTCTCGCCACAATCTCTGGCGACGCCACAACTTGATGGCTGGTTTGGGCTGTGAACCAAACAGACCCTATCTCTCTCATCCGATTCCTATGTTTTTCCCGCGCTCCAATCAAATGATCATTCCTATATTTTTCCTGTGTTTTGCAATCCTCTGTTTTACACTTTAATTTCTGTCAGAATCTTGTATTTTTCCTATTCCTCCATTTTTTTTCAACTATGCGATTCAAAGGGCCCTAAATGTGTGTTAGTAGGATGTATTTGTGAGTATGGCCATGCTTAAGATCCCACCTCAAAATTTTTTACCCTATCACATCGAACGTTTGAATGCATGCATAAATTATTAATATAGGCTAAAAAATAATTAATTGCACAGATTGCTACTAATTTGTGAGACAAATCTTTTAAGCTTAATTGATCCATGATTTGATAATATGGTGCTACAGTAAACATTTGCTAATGACGGATTAATTAGGCTTAATAAATTCGTCTCGCAGTTTACTGATGAATTCTTTAATTAGTCTTTTTATTAGTACCCGAATACCACATACAATACCCTATATAATATCCGATGTAGTACACCAAAACTTTACACCTCTATAAATATGATGTGGCTATGTACTCAGTACTCACCTGTCCTAGTAATTAAAAAATATCAAGCACCAAATATTCCTTAACAAATCCAAATTTAGGTGGCTGTAGAGAAATACTACACTACTGTACACTACATTCCTGCGGGAGAGCAGAGCACAAGGAGTAGCAGTAGGAGTGGATTATACAAGTACCACGCGTCTAGAACATTCTCTCAAGTCTCATCCACTGGTGGCAACGGCAACGCAACGGCCATGAGAGAGAAGTACGGAGTACTCCTACTAGGAGAGTACGTACAAAACGGCAACGGCAACGGCGACGCGCAATCCGTCCGTTTCGTTCCGTACGAACCGCCGGCGTTCAAAAATTCAAAAAAGCACAGGGCGAGCGAGTACGTTACGGGGTTGCGGGGGTGGAGCAGCAGCGCACACGGCTCGCTCCCCGTTCCCCGTCACGCGGTCAACCCGCCCATGCATTCGCGCGCCGGGGCCCCACCGGTCAGCCACCCGCGCGGAGGATGCGGGCCCCACGTGTCATCGGCGTTGGAGGTGGTGGGTGGGGGCGCGGGTGCGGTGTGGCGTCTTTATAAAGGAGGGGGGCTAGCGACCCCTCACCTTCCTTCCATTCGACTCCACTCCACTCCCCACCTCACCTCGCCTTTTTAGAGAGAGAAAGAGAAGAGAGCGAGCTCGACGAGGAGAGAGAGAGAGAGAGAGAGGAGTCACCTCACCTGCACCTGAGCTAGAGAGAGAGAGAGAGAGAAGAGGAGGAGGGTGGTGGAGGAGGAGGCCGGGAGGGGGAGATGGAGAGGCCGGCGCCGGTGAGGAAGTCCCACACGTCGACGGCCGACCTGCTGACGTGGCCGGAGGGCGCGGCCCAGGAGCTCGCCGCCGGGGCCACGCCGCCGCCCAACCGCCGGCCGCACCAGGTCCCCCGCCGTCTTCTCCCGAGTCCTTGCCATTGCTCAGCGAAGGCGTGCTCGCTTGCTTTGCCTGATTTTTTTTTTTTTTTTGGGTTTGGTGCAGCCGTCGGAGGCGATCAGTAAGGTGGTGTTCGGCGGGCAGGTGACCGAGGAGGAGTTCGAGAGCCTCAACAAGAGGTGAGATTGTGAAGGGAAGCTCGTGTGTGTGTGTGTGTGTTCGTGGCTGTGAATGGGATGATGATTCCGTGTTCTTGTTCTTGTTTTCTTCTTCTGAGTTTTTTTTTTGACCCTGGCCATTAGATCTCTCAATTTTGAGGCTCCACCCTTTGGGAAAGATCGAATTTCCTACGGTGTTTTAGCTGATCTGCTACTATGAAATGACGTCGAGTGAAATCCGCTGGATTTGAGTTTCAGTTAGGTCGGTGAGATGTGCACGATTAGTTTTTTTTGGATTTGAACTACTAGATTGTAGTGTCACATATGGATATGGCACAGCCCTTGATCTCACCCACAAGAATGATACGAGTACCTTGCAGTGTTACAGTTTGAATCTGACTGCATCTTGCACCATGCTATTGTGCTTCCATGTTAGGATTTTGGAACGTTCTTGTCGAATTACTATTGAGCTACTGATAATCTCGGTTTGTGTATGTTTTCACAATGGAAAAGTTTGTGAACATCTCACTATCTTGGTGTTTTGAGCATTAGAAATGATTTAATCTAATGGTTTTCTTGCTCCCACTGTTATTGCCAATTTACAAGCTGCAGTGATGCGCAAACTAAGCAGTCGGGTTATTATTTCTTTCTTTCAGGAAACCATGCTCAGCTCCCAAATGGAAGGAGATGACAGGAAGCGGCATATTTGCAGCGGAAGGCGAGGTTGAGGAAGACGAGTCAGCCAATGCTTCTGCAACGCCCGTCCGAACGGTTTCTAAGAATTATCAGGTGGTTCTTTCTGCAAAACATAAAATTATGTGCGTTCTTTTTCACTGTCATCTCAAAGTTGTTTTTTCACACTTTTTTTCAGTACGAAACTTCATTAATTTCAGATGCTATGCTAGAAAATTGAGAGGGAGTGCTTACTTAACAGTTTCCTGTTTTGCACATATTTGGATGGCATTTATAGAAGTAGCAGCTAATTGCTAAACTGAAACTTTGAGTCCCACAGAAGTTGTTGGGATGAATCATGTGGGATTTGGGAAGGGTGTACACACACCGGTTGGTAGCCTTTCCTTGCAATTGAAATGGACCTTTTCAGTAGATAACTAAAATGGACCTCAATATTGAAGAAATTTTGACGAGTAATATTTGAATTGGTTTCACGGGTAATAATCACTGTGGCAGGTCATTTGCCTTTTATTTTGACTTGTCATCTCTTTTGTTCTATTGGTCACATAGCAGTATTTCTTAGTAGGAAGTTTCATCCTTCTTTTTTTTCAGACGATGTGCTAAACGTTTGAGAGAAGTGATCATTAACAGTGTCCTGTTTTATATACACATTTTTACGCCAGTCACAGAAGCTACTGAATTATTAAATCAAACTTATTGAGTGTTCTAACCTCTAAGGGTCAGAAGTTGTTGGGTTGAGTGTTACGGGAAGGATTTACTATGTGGACACATTGGTTGGTAACCTTTCCTTTTAATAGAACTGGACCTGTTGACTAAACTATTAGGTGACCCTTGATATTCAATAACTTAGGTTGATAGACAATAGGATTTAGGTTGTCAGGTACTCTTTTATATTTTGTTTTTTTGTCCCTCACAAGGTACAAGGTATATATTTTTTGAGAGTTACAAAAATGTACGGCATGAAATTTCTAAGGAAGCAAAATGATTTTGTAATACTTACTGCAAATTTATCTATAGTGTTTATGAGTTCTCCCCTGAACATATTTTCTCGAGTTTCATCGAAAGATTTAAATTTCTTTGCGGCTTATATGCTCGAGTTAAGTTGCTGACCACTGACCACTATCTGGTTGGTAATGTTTTCAAAGTACACAGATGAATTACATTTGACTTGTATAGCTTATAGTACTATACTAGTTGACTACAACTTGAGATGATTTAATCCTGATGTTTCTAATTACAGAAACTAAATCTGATTTGTCGAATTACAGGCCATTAGCACTATAAGTCATATCTCATTCGCGGAGGAAGAAAGTGTTTCTCCAAAAAAGCCGACTTCGATAGCTGAGGTGGCGAAGCAGCGCGAGCTAAGTGGCACGCTTCAGAGCGAGGATGAGAGTAAGATGAAGAGGCAGATATCCAATGCGAAATCGAAGGAGCTCAGCGGCCATGACATCTTTGCTCCTCCAGAAGATCCCAGGCCACGCAACTCCGCGAACGGCTCGACCTCACAAACCCCGGGCAAAAATGCACAAGTCCTGACCTCTAAACACAGCTCCAGCTTTTCTGCTCAGTGCTTCAACCTGCACTGCAATGGTCGTTCTAACTTACTGATTGTTTTGATCTGACTCAACAGGTGAGCACCATCACGTTCGGAGAGGCTGACACCGACAGCGTGGTGAAAACGGCGAAGAAGATCCCGGAGAAGAAGCTGACGGACCTGACGGGCAACGATATCTTCAAAGGCGATGCTGCCCCGGGGACGGCGGAGAAGCACCTGAGCACGGCGAAGCTGAAGGAGATGACCGGCAGCGACATCTTCGCGGACGGCAAAGCGCCGTCGCGGGACTACCTTGGTGGGATCCGCAAGCCCCCCGGCGGCGAGAGCAGCATCGCGCTGGTCTAACAAACAAAACAAAACCCCCTGATGGATGGACATAGCCTACTACGACATTCTTGGACTCGTCCTCCCCGTTGCCGTCATTAGGAGTGATTTTTTTCTTCTAGGAGAGCTTCTTTGATGAGACTGATCGATTGAACTGCTGCTGCATGGTTTGTTTCCGTTTCTTTTTCTCGGCTTCTTTTTTTTTTGTTTAATCTGATCGATGATGGTGTGGGTGCGGCAAAGCAACGGTGATGGATATCTAATTTAACATTTGGTGTGCATGTGATGATGCGGTTGTGGTTGGGATGGTTGCTTGGTTTGGTTGGTCGGTTGGTTGTGGCGTACCTAATTGTAACAACCCAAATTGGTGTATTTGTTCTACTATAGTTGCATGACTTGATGTCCCAGCTGCCTGCCCGCGAGATCCAAGTGAGCAATATTGCCTTTCTTGGCCTGTTCAGGGAACTTCTGTTAGCTTTAATTTTTCCTAGAATCTTCCGCTTACGACAATTTAGATTTTCATATGTATTCTGAAAATATGTAGTTGTAGAATCAAAAAACAAAATTAAATTATGAAACTGATGAAAACATAGCCTTTTTAAATTCTCAACTGTACCTTTTGAAGTAAAAAACATATTAGTAAAACTTAGCCTTTTCGGATTCTCAACTACTACTAGGGGTGTGTTTAGTTCACGTTAAAATTGGCTCTATTCGGAAGCCGGTTACTGCGGCTGGCTGCAGCAGCTTGAACAGTATTTTTTATTGCTTATTCAGTTGTTGCATACTTATGGTACATCGCTGTGGTTGCACAACAATTGCTGCCGAACACAGCCATTGGAAGTTTGGTTGAAATTAGAACGATGTAATGGAAATATTGAAAGTTTATATGTGTAGAAAAGTTTTGATGTGATGAAAAAGTTGGAAGTTCGAAGAAAAAGTTTAAAACTAAACCAGGCCTAGGCCTATATGTTGTGTTGCTGCTGGCTAGCCTTGCATCCCTGCATGTTGCCTGCGTGCGTCCCTGTTGGCAGGTCAGGGGGAATTCAGGATGGTTCGTTCCCGTCAGTAATCTCTGTGCTTTTTTTATCTCAATTATTGCGACCTTGTGATGAGCTGAGCATTGGTGTTCGCTCGTCTCTGTCTTTGCTCCCCTTTGAAGAGCTAGCTGTGCTGTACTGTACTGATCTCGGAGGAGAAAAGAGATGGAATCTTTTCAGCCTTACAGATTGCCATGTTGCCAACTTTCCAATCGAGATGGGGAGAGAATCATGGGAGTTGCTAAACGGAGAGAAAAAGAATGGTTGCAGCTGCTGATTCCGTTCATTGGGATGCGATTGGCTTGGCTTGGCTTGGTGTGATGAGCAGCAGGTAATTGGATGGGAACAGGTTGGACTGGCAAATCCTGGGATCATTCTGACGCCAAAGTTTAGTAGTAAAAGTGTTGTCAAAAGCGTTGCGTTGCCTCGTTGGATCCCCTCTCTCCAGACTGTCACTCAAAATTAATCGAGTGAGCAGGCAATTTGATGCATATATTCAGATATAAGTATATTTCCTTCTTGTGATGCCGATAAAAATGTGTCGGCCTTAAGGTAGCCTGTGTGATTTTCACACGTCGCCAAGTACATTAGTACAACGCAACATTGATCTTTTACTCTTTAAGAGCAGGTACAATAGCAGACTATTAATCAGCTATAAACATATTTTAATGAGATAAAAGATGAGAGAGAAGAGCAGCGGGCTACAGACTCTAAGACGCAGTGTGTATATGGCAGGTGGGACCATATATTAATTGTATAGTAAGCAACCATTGTATGAATTAGCTATTAAATTAACTATAGATAAATTGGAGCTAGTAGTGAGCTGTACTATTAGACTTGCTCTTAGGGCATTTACCACGAGTGGTCTCGCTCTCACGTCCAATTCAAGCCGCCACCTCAATCGGGAGTGTTCTCATAGGGGTGTGCATGCCCTAACAAAAGCAAGAATTATAGATGGCCAAAAGGCCCAAGGCCCGACGGCCCGGCCCATGGCACGACATTGTCGGCCCGTGCCGGCCCGGCCCGACCACCGGGTCGTGCCTGGGCCCCTCCACCGGTACGTTGGGCCGGCCCGGCACGATGGGCCGGCAGCTAGGCCCAATATACAAAAAAATATAGGAGTAAAAATAGACATATTATATGCCATGGACGAAAGAATAGGGATCTAAAATAGACTTTTTTTATCCATACATATGTCAGCCGAAGAGGAGGGATATGAAATAGACTTATTTTAGCTATATATATATATATATATATATATATATATATATATGACACTCATATGGGGCACCATGGTGCCCGGGCACCATGGTTTCAAATGCACAAAATCACTTAAATTTTTCAAAATTTTCAAATTGTGAGTATATATATATATATATATAGTAAATTTGTTTGGTGCTCCATGGTGCCCGGGCACCATTGTTGAAATTGAGTATATATCCAATTCAAATGAGTATGAAACTTTTTCAATTATTTAGGTATTAACATTAACTACTTTACTAACTAGTTCAAAACAAGTTTGAACTGAATTTGAACTTGTTTTTGTTAGATTTTGATTCTTGGTATATAGCATCCATACATATAATTAGTTAGGTATGTAATCATGGATTGTGAAATAAAGTTAAATTTGAGTTGTTTTGTTGATAGATATATGTATGAATCGAATTCTTATAACTAGGTATATACTCACAATTTAAAATTTTTGAAAAATTTGAGTAATTTTGTGCATTTGAAACCATGGTGCCCGGGCACCATGGTGCCCCATATGAGTGTCCTATATATATATATATATATATATATATATATATATATATATATATATATATATATATATATATATATATATATATATATATATATATATATATATGTCAGCCCAAAGAGGAGGGATGAAAAATAGACTTATTTTAAAAAAGGCCCGATGGGCCACCCATGCCTTCGGGCCGGCACGGCACGGCCCGACAGCTGGTGGGCCGTGCCTGGGCAGGAGGTGCAGCCTATGGGCCGGCACGGCCCGATAGGCACGTGCCGGTCCGATGGCTGCTGGGCCGTGTCCAGCCGTGCCTGGGGCGGGCCGTGCCGAGCGAGCCCTTTGGCCATCTATAGCAAGAATGTCGACTTAGAAAGTGCCCTCGTGTGGAGCCCCATTGTCTCGTCTGGGTAGGGTAGTAAAGGACATAATTTTTTAGCCTATAAAATTTGAAGACCATGTCTAAAATGGAGTGGACTTGTTTTATATATTATTTTAATCTAGAAATATTTAAGGGCTAGGTAGGGTTGTGAAATAGCCTATAAGCCTTGACCTATTACCACTACTACATCAAAATTACTTTTTTCAAAACCCATTTAAGCCACTATGAATTGAGAAGGGATATCCGTGAGGCTACTTTTGCACTCTAAATACACCTGGTAGAATGTAAAGTTGCGGTGACCTTCCTTTCATCAGTCGTTTTGATTTTTTTTATTATCTTTTTAAAGTTTATCCAAGTTTATAAAATACTAATATACTAACATTTTTTACACAATACAAAGATATATCAAAATATATTATATGACAGTTTTAATGAAAACTAATTTTGTGTTGTAGACGCTGCTAATTTTATTTCTATAAGATCGAACTTAAAAAGTTTGACTATGACAAAAATTTAAAGCGACGTACAATTTTAAACGGAGGGAGTACTACAAATATATTTTTATAGGTGTCCCAAAAAATCGTAAAGAAAAAAGGAATTTCATTCAGCAGGTAAATAACAAATCCAAATGAAAATTGATTGGTTCAAAATCATCTTGCGGTTGTTGTATACAAGTAGCGACGGCCCAACAAAATGTCCTAGTGGGCTTTAAGCCCGAAGCGTCACACGCGGCCCTGTAATGAGACGACAAGCTCCAGGAGAGTCGACGAGAGAGAGAGAGAGAGAGAGAGGAGAGAGAGGAAATTGGAGAGGAGAGAGAGAGAGAGAAGCTGGAGAGGATGAGGGGCGGCGGCGGCGGCGGTGGCGGCGACGGGATGATGGACGACGGGCCCAAGTACGCGCAGATACCGACGAGCTTCGGCCACGAGCTCCGCGCGTGCCTCCGCTGCCGCCTCGTCAAGACCTACGATCAGGTGCGCACCGCCCCCGAGCTCCTCGCCTCGACGGCTTAGGGTTTCGTGTTCATGCTTGTTTCCGTATCGAATCGAGGGTTAATGCTTATTCGGGAGGAGTAATCTGTGCTCCGCGGGATGGGGTTTGCTACCGGCTTTGCTCTCGTTCTCGATCTCCTGCTTCGGCGTTGCTCGTGCGAACCTGCAAGCCTGCAGTGTTTAGGGATTGTATCTTCGTGAGAAATTAGTTTTGATTTCGTTGGTGTTTTTGCTGCTGCTGCTTTATTTTTTTCCCTGATAACCGTATGGATTGCACAGTTCATGGAGCAAGGCTGCGAGAACTGCCCCTTCCTCGACATGGAAAGGGATCACGACAACGTCGTCAACTGCACCACCCCCAACTTCACAGGGTAACGTCCATGCCGCGCTGCACTAACCTTATAAGTTGTTTGTGTTTCATATATTGTATTATTGTTGCTATGTCGGCCGCTCCTGGCGATTGTTCGCCTGCTTGGAGAGCGGAGTGGCGATTCTGCGCTGTTAGCAATCTCCTAACGATAAGGGATGTGAATTGTGCTTTGGCATAAACCGACTCGTGGACCGATAAGAAGCGAAAAGGAATGCCTTGCTTGACTTTCATCCTTTATTTATGTTGATTGTGGGTCATATGAAAATAGTCTCCTTTGTGAAAATTCATATCATATTGTTTACTTCGAAATGGTAGCCCATGGAGTACCAGTGGCACATGCACACAGACAATGAGACAAATACTCCTTCCGTCCCACAGTATAGTAACTTAGGATTAGATGGGACATGGGGTTTGCTATCATAGCTATGTTGCTATTTTTTCGGAAAACCTTTTATGCATGCTTTCTGTGAATTATGCAGTTCACTGTTTTCTAGAATCCAATTGCTTTGTACTATCGTGCTACGCTGAGAGTGGATATAATCAGAGCTAACTAAGATGCTTTTCTGTGCTCAGAATAATCTCCGTGATGGATCCTGGTAGGAGTTGGGCTGCTCGTTGGTTGAGAATTGGTGAGTACGTAGCTCTCCCATGAGTCTGCTATTATTCTTCAATGAAATTACAGTCACCTTTTAGTTTGTTGTCACTTGATTTCTTCCCACACCACCCAATTTTCGAGATTAAGTTATGGAATTTCCTAACTGAAGGTAACATGCACAGCTTAGCGGTGTGTTATAGCCTTATAGGTCAGTAAGTTCTAGCTGCCCTTTTTGCGTGCTGAGGCATAGCCAGTTGGTAGGCTGAAGATATCTCACTGCAGTTTCTATTGACTTGGTTTTATGTCTCACTGATTACATTCTGGTAATTATAAAACAGAACGAATAAAAACTTTTGGCCATGGTATGGCCTGCACTTTGCAGTGCCCAGGAATTCATTCTCAAATCCTGGTGTTCGATGGCAATCTGCTGAGTTAACACACTGGAGTTACTGTAAAAATAAATAAATTTTGCAGGTGTTCTTATATAGTTCAGTATAGTCAGGTAGTGATTGGCAAACTTCTCTACATCATACTAGTTTGTATCTTTTGACTTAGGCAGTTACCCCCCTCCTTCCCAAACGATTGACACTCCACACTCAAAAATTGTCCCACAACAATGGTCACTTTAGCTCCATTCCCTCCAACCACCTCCCATTCAAATTTCTCACCATCTTAGCCCCAACCACTCTCCCACTCAACATTCCTCATTTAATGAGAGACATTTACTAGTAGGTTATTTTCTTTCCCTACTTGGTCATGTTCTTTTCTTTTAACTCCAATCTTCAACTTCTCCGTTTTCCGTTAGTATGTTTTTCGAACTGTTAAATGGTACATATTTTGCAAAAAAATTCTATATAGAAGTTGTTTAAATAAATCCATTTAATTAATCATGTGCTAATGAGCTTTCTCGTTTCACGTGTATGAAAAATTCTCCTCCAAAATGAGGCAAGGAACGCACCCACTCTCCTAAAATGACATTGTTTTGAGATGGAGGGAGTACCTTGTTGGCCTTTTCTTTTCTTTTTCTTCCTTTTTTTTTGCGAAATACTTGTTACAGACTTGCTAGAGGATCACTTTTGTTTTTACGTGTAAAATACATGAATTAAGATGTGTGTTCAACAGTTCAAGTGTCTAGCTTCTAGAGCAACCGAAACAATCTCATTTGTCATGTGTTCCTTTTCGCAATCTGCAGGGAAGTTCATCCCTGGGTGCTATACGCTGGCTGTCGCGGAGGAGCTTCCGGAGGAGTACCAAGTAGGAACTTAGTGCACTTTTGTCTACCCATTTGTTCTTTCATTTCGGTGCATTTCTAGGAGATATCATAATTTGTGTTCCTTCGTTCGTTCCAGAGCGTTTGCCAAGACAACAATGTGCAATACTTCCCTCCGAAGCGTGTCTGAACAAGCCATATATAGTCCCTTCAAGAGAACAGCGTGCCTGAACAACCTATATTCCCTTCGGAGCGTCACGATCCTGAAGCAAATACTATGCACGTGTTTTTATCTAGATACATTCCTTGCCAAGGGAACTGCTGTTACCTGTTGTGTCCATGCTTAGAGCAGCTAATCAGCAATTGACCGTGCACCTTCTGTACTTGAACAACTCAAGAGCAGTGTTTCAATCTACTCTAACGCAATGTGCGCTTCTTAGCTAGGAATACGTGCGCTTCTATGCGCATTCATATTACCTGCCATTTTCGTTCATGGGCCATCAGGATTCAGATATGTGTGCATCCATGCTGCACGGATCGATTCACCTTACCAACGGATAGAGCAAAATGCCAACAAAACATTTTTCTTCTGAATTTGCACATTTGTTTTCAACAGAACATGTTATTATTGTGCAGCTAAATAGAAGAGCCACAGATATCAGAATGTAACCAAGCAATGAACAGCTGAACACAATGATGCACAAAGGCTGATGAGTTTTTGTCAATTTGCCATTTCATATTTTCCATGAGACCGAAATTTTTGGTAGTATGAAGCATGTTCAGAGCAGTTGTCATACATCACGGTTTCAAATTACAGTCCTAACAGGAAAATTATGAACCATGAAACTTGTTCGGCCAGGGCTAGGGCCACGGCATGTTCCTTTGGCAGCAAATCCCCAGTGGTCAAGTCGCTTCAAGAAGGTACCGGGCGTCCGGGCCAACCAAGCGAATCTAACTCTGCAACTGAGTTCTCCCAAACTATTGCTATAAAGGAAGGTGAAGTACAGCAAATACTAATATATGCAATGATCTCTATCGAGCTATTAAATTGTTATGCTGGTCACACAACATAGTTAACGCGGTAAAACATAGCTTTTACATCATTTAAAACATTAATTAATGACCGAACGTGAGTGTGTTTTCTGAACCATGGGGTAAGGTACTAAGATGAATTTATCACTTTATCATAATCACATAAGACTACAATTTCTATTCACTAATCATATAGGCTGGTAAATTATGTCATATATGAGTCCATACGACTAAACTACAGGAATCATTCATTATACAGCAATAGCAAACCATCGAGAATGCAAAGCTAATTGTTCGGAAACATTCTGTGCTCAAATACACAACTCCAAGTTCTAAAAAATGCACACATGCACAATGAAAGATGGCATTTCAAAATCCAAGTTCTAAATCGCTGGCATGCACCATCCATGAACAGAGCATTTCAACAATGCATGACGGGAAACAGTTATTATGAAACTCAGCTAAATTCAAACAGTTGCAATGAAACTCAACTAAATCAATGGGACCTTACTTGTCAGCATAACGAGTGCAGACAGCAAAGGATGTAAGCAGGCGGCAAAACGATATTACCATCATCTCATCATCGTCACCATCACCATCATCATCAAGGCAAACAGCACAAAACAATATCAACCGCAACAGCAACAGCAACTTGGATGTTGACCACACTATCAGCCAGCACCTCTTCATCCCATCATGGAACTAGAAAGGTTCAAATTACCATTTATAGTAAGTACCAAGTACCAAAAGAGAAGTGATACTATCAAATGCTAAGAGACAAGTCTGTATGAAAAGGAATTGAAGTACATATAGTTCTTAACAAGCGTTAAGGTGTTCACAAGAAACCAGTGTTCACTTGTAACAGCAACTGATAGCACTCCCTGTAACTTCCAATTTTTCACCGGAGCCTTCCATCATCAGGCACCGAACAGCCTCTTGACATGAGCAGCTCTACTCCATTCATCCTATTAGACAGAAACATAAGATGTATTTTTTTAAAAAAAAGACATTTAACTACAATGACTTAAACTATGTGAACAATCCAAAGACCTCAGCTGTTTGATGCATATTCTTGATATTCAGCTTTACGTCGAAGGGCTACGAGAGCGCCTAGGCTCATCATAGCGCTTGACAGGAGATCCCTCTTGAGAAGATGGTGTCCTGCGAGGAGAGCGACTAGGGCTTCTGCGCACAGGCGAAGCACTAGGGCTTCTACGTGCAGGCGAAGCACTGGGGCTTCTGCGTGCAGGCGACATACTGGGGCTTCTTTTTGCACTGGGGCTTTTACACACAGGCGATTGACTGTCAGAAATAACATAACAAAAGGCAGCAATATTAATGTCGTTCAGTAAAACAACAAAACTAATTCTCCCATGTGCATACCTGTGTTTGCCACGCTTCCTGTAATCATCAGGACTGTAGCTACGACTCCTGCTACGACTCAGGCTTCTGCGTGCAGGTGACACACTGCAGGTAATCATAGAATAAGAAGACAGAAAGATTGTGAAAACAAGAAAGATAAAAATAACAAAGTCAATTATCTAATAATTACCTGTCTCTGCCACGTCTCCTGTAATCATCAGGAGTGTAGCTGCGGCTCCTGCTACGACGACGATAATCTCTCTCCCTATACCTGTCACGTCCATATCTATCTCTACTCCGACTCCGCTTTCTATAGTCTCTCTCCCGATAGTCATCACGGTACCTTCAAATGTGGTATACAATATGATTATAAACAGGATATCAATACACAAAGTGAACAAGGGCCCAACTACGAAGGGCATGACCAGAATAAGCTTGGTAATACACAATAGCATATCCCAAACTGACAGCTTATCTAAATATTACAACAAAAAAGCAACATTAAAGAACTACAAAGATCTGTACTCTGTAGTACTAGAGGCAACAACACCAACAATAAAAGTTATGACATGTTTTTTATGAATCTGGTATATGTGACAAATGAAACAGAATGTTTGAGCACAATGTTGCAAAGGGAATCATGAAATGCCCATTGGGTTAAACGTTGAAACACACAGAAAGTTAATAGAAGTAGAGAACACATTTTTTCCTCCTTTTGCAGACCACCCAAAGTCCTGAATCACTTTTAAGAAATACTATGTGTAAGCATAATATTTAGAGAAATGATGTAATACCCCCGTCTTGGACTGCGGCTTCTGGAACGACCCCTAGACCTTGGAACTGTCTCCATGATTTTTCCTTTATGGCTGCATAATCCAGATAAAAAGGTTAATTGTACATGCATAGTTAAATCCTAACAAGGAGAGCAGCTTTACCACATGACATGTGCCAGTTAATTTTTAGCATGGGATGCTTTACTACGAAATATTTAGAATAATAAACTCTAATTTATGCTGCCAGAACACATAAGATGAACTTGCTTTTGACCACTACATAGTACTATAAATCATTTTCTGTACAACTGTACCTAACAAGCCTCTTGACAAAATTTACAACTTATTGCCTAACAACATCATGGTTAAGTGAATGTACAATATTTTGCAACTAAACCACAGGTGTTGAGCCCTTCAACGTTGTTGTTGATGCACAAACGGGAAAAAAAAACTTTGGGATGCCATATTCCTCAACAAATTTATGACAAGCTATACAACTTAGTAAATAAGCATTGAACCTCATAAAACTAACAATAACATCATACTACTATTAGATAAAGATCTGGTGTTGACTAAGTAATTTGCAAGGGAATGTAGAAGTAGAGCTAACTTCAAAACTTACTTTAGGTGTGATAACTTGCTAGAGTTTTTTCTTTGTTTTACTCAGTTACATCCTTACATGGTAGTTTTAGCACTGCAAAAGGCTAAATCCTAATGTATAAGCTCACACTTCCAACCAGGAGTTGCCGAAAGTTATATTTAACAACCACCAAAATTATCATGGCCCAAGTAAATCAGACAACATATACCAATATACCATAATACAATTTTCGTTTAACATGCAATTTCTAGATTATTTTGCCTCCTGGGATAAATAAGGGGATCCTACGAGAGCCTCCAATTAGACAGAGATATAGACATGCCATCAACATTTAATGTTTCATCCATGATTACTTGAGCAACGATAACGAAACAGTGCATCTTACATTCGTTCAGCGTTCGGGCCGTACTTGGCAAACTGCACCATGATCTCCCTTCCATCTACCACTCTCCCTGAAAAAAAAAAACTCAGACAGCAAATCATCAACAGCGCAAACCCATCAATCTCAAACTGCATGAATCACTGTCTCGTTATCGATGAATCTCACCGTCAAGCCGATCGACTGCCTTCTGCGCCTCGTCCTCATACTTGTACCTCACGAACGCAAACCCTCGCGAATCACCAGTCCTAGAACAGACAGTACAGCCGACCTAATCAGCTCCCAATTCCCCAAACCCTAGAAATTCTATGTGCCCCAGTTCTCACACTCCTCGTCACCATACTAACCTGCGGTCCCTAGGGATGTAGATGTCGACGACCTCGCCGTACTTCTCGAAGAGAGGGGAGAGGTCATCCGCCGTAGTGCCTGCGGAACACACGAGCAACAACTCGATTCAGAACCCCCCGAGGAGAAGCGAACACACAGCGCGCGCGCCGCACGAGATGGATAGAGAGGGAGAGAGAGGAAACTGACGGAAGGTGATGTTGAGGACGAGGAGGGAGTAGGTGTCGCGGATCGGCGGCGGGCCGGAGCGGCCGAAGCGCGACATGTCTCGCCGGAGCGGAGCGCGGCGGGCGGCGCGGTGGCCGGGACGCGGCGCGGCGGGTGGAGACGGTGAGGGCGAGGATGAGAGAGGTCGGGGTAGGGTGAGGGTGGCCACAGAAAAAAAAACAAACAAAAAAAACAAGTCGCCGATACTTCTAGGCTCGCACGCACGCGGCACGGGTTCAGCACACGATTGGGCCACGGCCTGCTCGAGCCCACACTTTCCATGTGGGCCGTCGTGATTTCACATCGAACGGGCCCAGTTCAGCCTGCCGTTCATCTCGACTCTATCTTCTTGTTCGATCTTTTCTCTCTCTTTTTTTTAAAGAAAAACACAGTACAAATATATACACTCACAGCACGTGTATGCTCACCATTATAAACATAAACACCGCACATCATACCTCTATAAGCACCTCCTAAGATTTGGGATGGTATATTTTAAGGATTGACAAAGTCACCACAGCGCGCGTCGACATCCTACCCTTACCTTATGAGCACTTCTGCAAGTCTGGGCTAACATATTTTGAGACATCATACTTTATATAGACACTTCCAAAAGAGTGGGTAATATATTTTAAGATTAAGTCTGGGCTAACATATTTTGAGACATCATACTTTATAGACACTTCCAAAAGAGTGGGTAATATATTTTAAGATTGGCGAAGTAATCACGAGCATCTCATTATTGAGTACTTAATACTTTTGGCTCTCAGGAGTCTCTTTGTAGAATACTTGGCCTACCACTGAAAGAATAATTAACCATAAATACGGGCAACTCTGTCTAGGCTTGAAGTCATATGGGTTAGTTCCATTACAAGGAAGCTAACCATTTATAAGCTTAACACTTCACAATCTTGTTCGATCTTTTAGCATGCTAAAGATGATTTCACATCAGGGTCATCAAACTTATTGATTTCACAATCAGCATGTATTATCAAGCATTTAAGATGATTTCACTATCAGTATGTGCGTGTAACTGTGTATCAAACATGATGATCAACAAACGTATAGTACGGATCAACATGCACAAGGTACAACAACAGTACCATTGGTTAGACGACTCACCATAACTGCTCAGCACAAGACATGGATGAAGAGAGAAGCTGGGGTACAAGATCCTTGCATTGTGATTGGTCATGTTTTTATTCTTTTTATTTCCTCCAAATGAACCTTCTAAAAGTTCACGAGCAAGGGAAATGTGAATGTGAGGCTAGCATCCTGACACTTCGATTTAGCTCATAGCACAAAGCACAGAATGTCAGAAACGCTGTAACTGCTGAGTTCTCCAGCATGGCAACTTCTACTTGGCCTTGCACTCATTAGTGGCCCTAGGACAGAACTTCAGGTCTCCAGCTGCACTTCATCTTCGATTTCCATGATTGACTTCATTTGGCTTCTCCTTACTCTGAGATAGATGGAAAAAGTCTTGTGAGGATGACAGCAGATGGCTAAATCTTTGATTTCAGAATGCTGAAGTAATGCTGCAGTCATAGTGTTGACAAAAACATGCCTCATGGCATTGAACATAGATTGTTTTCACCGATGAACATGCCCGAATAAACTGTTTAGTATACGATAAAAAAATTGTGTTGGAGTGAGTTATGAGATCTGCATTATAGTCAGTTAAAAACATTGTTGCTGATTGCGCTTCAATGCATTTTGGACAATTAATCAAATCAAACTGATAAATATAGCTAGCACTGAATATCCGTGAAAGTTTCTAGCTGGATACAAACGCTGGTAATTGCAATGATCGACGAGTGGAGACTGCAGACCATAGGTACTTTTTCACACAATGATTCAAGCAATTCAATTGATTAACTAGCCATCAGGAGAGTACAGAAATACCTCCAAAATTTTACCTTGAAGGCGAGATTCAAATCCACAGGTGCCCAGGTGATTTGCCAGTTTCTCTCCACATTGCTTTTGCCAATCTTCAGCCGCCTTGACCTCAGCTGTTGTCAAGACAACTGCTTTTGCTTCCTTAAAATCAACGGTGGCAGAAGTGACTTCAGGCTGCAAAAGTGTGCAAGTGAGTGTTCCATGGTGATTGGTAAAAGTAGCAGTAAAATGAATACGTAAGCGGAAAACATGGAATGAAACGAGGTGTTCATAGGAGTCAAAAATACTGTAGGAGGCAAGAACCATTAAAACAGGCACCCATAAGAGACCAACTATGCAAATAACAAAAATATATTTGCTCAAACAAAGAGCTCCACTGACAACACACTTCCTTTTTGAACATTATGAAAACATTTCCGATCTTCGCAATTTATACACAATACCAGCGTGCCCAGTATTCCATCATGGTTTCAACACTTATCTAATATGCAAAAAATTCACACTAAAAGTTATTTTGGTGTTAAAGGTTCGACAACTGAGGTTTAAAAGCGTATCTGGAATGGCACACTAAAGCAGGAAAGGCACCTAACTTGTAGTAACTCGCACAGTTTTTAACCAAACTCAACATTATCATTACCACTAGAAGCTACAACTAAATTATTTTCCTTCATTCATTCATCCCATCTTTTAACACAGAAGTTACATGCTAGAGTGGCCTCACAGGAACACTGGACTTGAACCCACTGTACAGATAAATTTCAGTGGCCAAGCACTACAGTCTACAGATTAAATTCAGTGGCCAATTAAGCACCCTGTTGCGCAATCAAGGAAAGCAAAACTAATACTAAGATGATGGGAATAAATAGTGATGATGCCCTACTTGGCTCTCCAAAATCCGCTTCACGCTCGCCGCGCACCCATCGCACATCATCCCCTGCAAGAACCAGATATCATCAGAGTCATCACACATTCAATGGAAGATACAGGGATGGCTGAGAAGTACCTGGACGCTGAGCAGGATGGCCTCGGAGTCGGATCCGCCGCCACCCGCCGCCGCCGCCTCGCCGAGCGCGGCCGCGGCCGCGGCGGAGGAGAGCGAGGAGCCCGCCCCTGCATCCCCGCCGCCGCGGCCACCGGCGGGGGAGAAGAACGAAGCGGAGGCGGCGGCACAGCGGCTACGGCGAGCTCCGGCGAAGCAGCGCGCGGGCGAGGCGGGCCGTCTCGAGAATGGACAGGGGAGGATGGGCGATCTCGTGATCGTGATCAGCGTAGACTCCATTGCCGTACGTACGTGTGCTCTGATCTCTCTCGTTCGTCGTCGTCGTCGGAGAGGAGAAAAACCTTATCCGATTCCCCGTGTAATTACTGTTGCAGAGGAAGAAGACCAGCAGTGTCAACTGACATGCTAGGGATGGCAATGGGTCAGGTCGGGCACGGATAGAGCAAAACCATGCCTGACCCGATGCCCGATATTGCCCATCCAAACCCTACCACTAGAGTTAGCGGGCAAAACTCCGTATCCGTACCCATGCCCGGCGGACGCAGGTATATCCGGCGGGTACCCAATGAATCTCGCATGAATACTAACTTGAAAGATATCTAATTTAACAAAGAGAAATAAAATCAATAATTTACCAAATTATCGGTTATCAACAATAATTTAAATTACATCACACCTTAGTATCAGTTAGCATCACAAATGAACCGAGAGAAATGGTATAAGAATTAAGAAATGAGTCAAAATTAGCTAATGCATATGTATCGGATCGGGCATGGATTACCCACGGGTAAAAAATGAAACCCGCCTATTGCCCATTACGTCTTCGGGTCTCAGGCGGGTGTGCCCATGGGTAAAAAGTCACACCCACGCCCGTGCCCATCGGGTCCGGGTATCCGGGTATCCACGGATACCCGGACCCATAGGTAAAATTGTCATCCCTAGTCAACTGTCAAGAGTGCGATGGATGTGGGCCCTTCTTGTCAATGAGGCAGAAATTTCCGCTGAAATTCGTACTTTTCAATCATATCTCGTTACAATAATCCCACTGTCCCAAAAATTAAACAATATTATGCAAATATTGGAATTAGTGAACGAAGAAGGGTTATAATTGATTGGAATGAGAAAATGACAAAGAAATAAAATCAACGATGGTTGTGATTGGTTGAAAACTTGAAATGATGCAATATTCAAGTATGCAAAGAAAATGTTACATATTTGAAGATAATTTTAAATGTTAGGAGTTGTTATATTTTAAAAGATAATAATGGGGTAATTTATATATGTGTCCTTTGATTTTTAGTGAAATGAAGTAATCGGTTTTTATCACATTACCTGTCTCGAAACTTTGGACATGTCAAATATAGTTGATGCTTCCGTGCGATATCTTCCAAATGGATTAGGATTTTTCTGATTACGTAGAACCGAGGGAAGAAGGATAAAGACACTTTTTGATGCGAATCTTGTACTCTTTCGACATTTCCCAATGGAATTTATGGACACTAGTCACTACAGCAATCATACTTGAACACTTCGGCACGTTTGATAGAGTTTTAACTCATAAATTTAGTTTCATAAGTTAAATCACTTAGACTATTCCCAACCCAATAACTGTAATGGTGTCCGTAGCATTAAATAAACTATCACTTAGAATGAAAGATGAGACTATCACTTACAATGAAGGATGATATGGCAAGTGGATAAATGAGGAAAGAGAAGGAATATATGTTTTGCATGAGACATGGTTTCTACAGAACATCTAAAACATCACGTGAGATAAGTAGCATTAAATTTAAGTATAGAAGAGTAGTGTTTGCATTGAAAGAGTAGTATCTAATACTAGTTTATTGATGATGTGGAGTTAGAACTGGCTTTAGCTTTCTCTTATTTTAGGTGTAATTGAAATTGTTTGATTGGACTTCAGCTCTAGCTGAGATATAGCTAAAGCTGGGTTGGGTTGTGTGAGACAGCTCTTCGTGTTTACATTGGAAAAAATAAACTTCACGCTTGGCATCAATAATGCAGGGAGGTGTTCACTGTTCAGGCCCCATAGTTTAATGACTCCTTCGAATCAAAGGAATTACGAAGGAATTTTATAGGTTTGAAATCCTATAGAAAATTTTCCTATGTAGCCCTTTGATTTAAAGGATTGAAGTTTTTTAAATCCTATAAAATTTCTATGTAATGGCTTATTGCATATAGGTTTTGGAGGAAACTTAGCATGAGGTCCAACCTCTTGGAAAAAATCCTTTGATTCTATCTCTCTCATCCGATTCCTATGTTTTTCGTGTGGTCCAATCAAACGATCATTTATGTGTTTTTCCTGTATTTTGCAATCTTCTGTTTTACACTTACATTCTTGTCAGAATCCTATATTTTTCCTATTCCTCCGTTTTTTTATTCCTAAGATTCAAAGGGGCCCTAACAAGAATAGCATGTCCTACATGCAAACAAACGAACAATCTATCAAAATGCCAAAATTCTGTGCATATTAAAATCGAAAAGTGCATCTTACGAAACAGCATCCGATGCACGTGGCAGCCTTTTGCGAACGCAATATCTATAAACTCAAATCAAAAGACTTTCACCTCTCTGATAGGCGTTGGTAGCGACCCTGAAATCCTTGATTAGTGGTCCTTGGTTAGCGAGGGTATTATGGTCAACTCTGCACTGTCAGCTGCGTCGCCGTCCCCCGTCGTCACCTGCAGGCGGCGCCCCCTCTGACCAGGTGTTTTTACCACCTTGCCCACCGTTGTCGCGGAAGTGCGGCCGCGTGTTGGGTGAAATTTACGTAAAGATCCCCGTTCCAACTCGGATATGAATTCGGTTACTATGGTCATTTGTGCAATAGTGATTTCTAGCTCAATTTGTTTATTGTTTGACTATCTGAGTTTGTCAAAAAATACATTATGCGACGAGTGCATGGAAATGCTACGCAAAGTGCTCGTATACAACCTTTTTCCATTGGATCTTGGAGAATGCTAACATGTACCATATCTCGTTGGCATTTGAGATAGTAAGGTCATCCTTATATGGATTGAATTGGGTTTTATGAAACTTCTGCAGATCTTGTCAAATACCTACCTTAAAAGGGGAATAATGAACTATTTGCCACTCTTACGAGTTGTTATAAAGGATTTACCACTGGACCCACATGTCATAGACACATAAGAGCCCACATGTCATAGACAGCGAGTGGCAAATAATTAAATGTCCCTTAAAAGGAAGGTGCTCAAAGTACAGTGTATGTGTAGGTCCATCTTGGCAAAATTTAAATCAAGAGGTCTCTCGTTTTAATGCTAATGAGAGACCCCCTCAATATTTGTTCGGATACTACTAGCCCATAAAACAAGCAGATAAATATATTCCTATCACATATGCTTTAGATAAAATTTTATCTTAAACTACTCATCCGGTTTGCGATCCGATTACACCAGTGTTCGTAACAATTAGATCTTTATAACAAGATCTTACATGATTATATATTTTTTATGAAAAATTACAAATTACGTTTATAATATATCTAAATCCTATATACCTATATAGTTCATCCCAACTAAGTGTAGTTAATGCTATTTATCTCTTCTCTCATAAAGCCACATCATCCTAATTATTTTTAGCCTTTGGATGGTAGATCTATCATCTATGGTACAAATAGTCTCTTTTTTCTTCTCTCATAAAACCATACAATATCAATTATTTTTAGTTCAAAATTCATAAGTATCAATTACATAAAATATGTTCACCTTGCATTATATTTGCAATCATGTTTTAATTATATAAAACACTAGATGATTCCCCGTGCTTTGCTGCGGGAATTACTAAGTAATTCTCAATATTTTTTTTACAATCAAGTTATGAGTAAAAAGGAAAAATAATAATGAAACATCAGGGTTTATTAGTCAAATGATACCCGTGCTTTAGTGTGAAATATATTGATAAGTATATGTTAAATATTGTAAAAGTGATAGATAGGCTTGTTAAAATATTGTGCAAATGATATGAGGGGTGATGATTGGATATGCTCGCATTTTGTTTTGTAGAATTAAATAAATTGTAGATCATGTTGTATGCTTTCATGAGATTAAATATGTAATTATTGCTAGTGGGTGATGATGTGGCATGGTTACATGTTGAGCTATAGATTTAGTGGGCCTTAACTTTATAGAAAGCATAGATAGGAAGTCATTTTATTTTGGTTTACAAAATATAATATAGCTTATTTGTACATACTATAAAAACTTAATTTCCCATAGCAACACGACAGGGTATTCATCTAGTTACTTTTAGATTTCATTAAAATACTTCTTTGACATATAAAAGTAAGTTCAATAAAGTTTAAAAGCAATTTAAATATATTATATAAGTAAATTAAAAAAAAGGTAACTTGTGACGACATTAAAAGCAAATCTATCGTGGGGATAAAAACACAATTCTATCTATAAATTAAATTTAATCAACACATTATAGAACCAAGCAATAAAGTAAATTCTTCAAATGTCCAAAAAGTATTTTAATCAAATCTATAATTAATTTATGTATACGATAAAATTAACTTACATGTATAATAAAAGTAACTACAACATATATAATTTTTTTCATCAGAATATAATCATGTGAGATCTTGTTATAAAGATTTAATTACAATAAATACAATAGTATAATCGGATTATAGATCGGATATGTAACTTGAGGAAAAGTTTATTTGAAGTTTAACTATGAGTATCTTTCGTTATTCTTGCATGCTTGCATACTAGTTATGAAAATAATTGGGTCTCTGGTTTAATCTATTAAGAGACCACGAGCTGTGTAGTGGCGTCCATATGTCTTCCTTGAATAACAATAATAAATTGAGTACTATGCTCGATCAATATTTTACACAATCATGTTAAATCCTTAAATAACGTTCAAAACACGTGAATATTCCCAATGCCAAAACCATCTTAACGATCTTAAAGGTAAACCACCCTAGGAAAGATTACTGAGATAAAAACTTAAGAGAACAAAGAGGCATGGAGGAATTCAGATCAAATTGCACCCAAATTTCACTATGTAATGAAATGCTTTTTAAAAATCAAAATTCAAGTCTAATTGGCTAAAAAATGGCTGGTAATTGAAAAAAAGAATGAACAGAAAAAAATTGAGATATAAAACTTTTATATTTATATTTTTTTATAGTTTAAAACCAATATTAAAAAATAAACCACAATGCATTTTTCTAAGAAATCAGATACAAATTAAGTTATATATTTTTTATTTTAGCTAAGGCTGATAAACTAGTTACTTCCTCTATCCCCAAATGTAGCCATCTCCAGGTTTTTTTAAATCGATTAAGAAAAGAGGTCATATAACCACAATATCCTTCATTAATGCACGAAGAATTTGGATGGAGTAAGGCGGTTGGTGGATGTGATGTGGTTGGTAGGGG